AGTCATGTGTTGGACACATAAGATTTTTCAATCAAATTATGTAAAAGCAGCAGTATTTTAAAATGGGCTATTTCGTGCGGCGGTATTTCATGACATAGCCATTTCTGACTGATGCTGTTTTAATACTCAACATTCAGTAATTTAAAGTCGTGGTGTAACGACGTGTTTAAAAGTTCTCCGCTATCTTTAATAAGAATAGTGATTTTGTTTTAATTTTTCTTGTGATATTATTAATTAGTCTGTGCATTTATTTTAATTTAATTTATTTTAATTTATTTTAATTTATTTTAATTTATTTTAATTTATTTTAATTTATTTTAATTTATTTTAATTTATTTTAATTTATTTTAATTTATTTTAATTTATTTTAATTTATTTTAATTTATTTTAATTTATTTTAATTTATTTTAATTTATTTTAATTTATTTTAATTTATTTTAATTTATTTTAATTTATTTTAATTTATTTTAATTTATTTTAATTAATTTTAATTTATTTTAATTTATTTTAATTTATTTTAATTTATTTTAATTTATTTTAATTTATTTTAATTTATTTTAATTTATTTTAATTTATTTTAATTTATTTTAATTTATTTTAATTTATTTTAATTTATTTTAATTTATTTTAATTTATTTTAATTTATTTTAATTTATTTTAATTTATTTTAATTTATTTTAATTTATTTTAATTTATTTTAATTTATTTTAATTTATTTTAATTTATTTTAATTTATTTTAATTTATTTTAATTTATTTTAATTTATTTTAATTTATTTTAATTAATTTTAATTAGACTTTCTGTAAAATTAACAGATGTTCATCTTCATCTAAATTCGTTTCAAAAAACGAATGTTCCTTTAGCAGCTCAAATAATCAGTAATTCAGTTGCTTGGGCTGGAAACATTAACATCTTTTAATTATCTTCCTGCAGATCAGCAGTTTTTATTTCTGACATGGACAAACTTTTTCATATTTTAAATTCTTTAACATTTGGTGCAAGAAAAAACTATGCAAAACCTTATCAAGGAAATATTGCACAACAAGAACATCTTACAAAAATGTTACATTTTTTTCAGTCTTTGAGAATTTCAACAAAAGATGGAAAAGATGTAACAAATCGCTTAAAATTTCCCAAAAACTGGCAAAATACAATTACTGCGTAATGATGCTGTGGGATGATAAAAAAAAAGATACTTCCTTTTTATGCACTCGATTTTTGAATTAAGACCCACTAGAAAACTTTTTTGGTAGCATTAGGAATAAAGGAGGAAATTGCATAAATCCCAGCCCAATACAATTTCAAAATTTATTTAGGAAAACTTTTTGTTTAAATTATTTTGAGCATGCTGAAGGGGCAAACTGTTCCAAAGATTTTAATGAAATTCTAGTTGAATTTCAAGGGATGTCAGGTATTTAGTAAAGCGTGGTTTAAAGCAACATACTTGTGTAATATGCGAAAAATTTTCAACTGCACAAACACATTTGTCGAATGAGACGATTCTTTGTCATTTGCGTGCGTACACAACAACGCCGCAAAATGATTATGGAAAGTTAAAAATGCCTCCCCAGTAGTTTTATGAGTATATTCATGAAATGGATATTTTTTACGAATATTTGAAAAAATAGCAATACAAAATGATGTTGCAAATAAACTTAAGGAAGAAATTGTCAAAATATTTTATCAGTTTCCTTGTAAATATTTTCCTAAAAATTATTTAATTAATTTATTTATGAGATTAAGAATTTTTTATACATTAAAATTTTGTAACAGAAATTTAAAAATTTAAAAAACATAAAAAATAGGAAGATAATTGTATTAAATCATTTATAAATTGATATTACCTAAAATGTTTTCGTTTTCTTGTGTATATATTCTATATATTTTAGTATTTATATTTTGTAAAAATTCGTTTACTTATGATGGAAGATATTCTGTATATTTTTATTGTAAAAATGTAAATAGCTTTGTTTTTTTTTTGTATTTTCCGTAAATATATTCTATTTTATTGTATTTCTATTTTTTTTAGTATCTCTCTAACCCTCAGCAATTTTATCCCATTTTTTAAATCATACAAATGCCTTCCTTGCCATTTTTATTTGTTAATGGTTAATAAAAGTTAAAATCCTGTGAAGTTAATCATGTAAAATGTCTTAATTTCGTAGGATAAAGAAAAATATAAATTTATTAATATCCAGGGAAAAAAATACAACCATTATTAAGCATAATTTATAACTACTGAGAATTCAATTCATTTCAATAAGAATTTGGTCGAAGTTATGAGTTAAATGGCTCTAAAAATTCGAATTCATTTAAATTGGCCGCCAAAATCGACTAGCATTAGGATGCGCACCGAGTCTGCGCGAGTTGCCAAACTAGAACATTGAGATCAAAGGCGCCGACAGAGAATACGACTACTGTACAGTTCTCTATACTGGGGCATAAGTATAACCAAATGACCAATATTATAACTTACTTATTATTGCTTGTACTTTAGTACGATCTAAAGCAGGTTTGACAGGACGTTCTCCATTTCCTGCCCTACTCCATCTTTGCCCTGTGACAGAACAAGTTGCTAGCTCAGCGGGGCTAAAAAGTATTGTCGCCAGTCCTCTAGTTAATTTCCTATAGTCACTCCATTTAACGCTTCTCAACTGGTCCTCGTAAATTTCTATTCCTTCTCCGAGTTTTATCTACCTCAAAAAAAGATTTAGTTTTAAGCACTGATGAAAAATTACATCAATTAAAGTCTTTCCTGTCGACCATGTAGAGAACATCGTTTATTTGAATGATTTTTATTATTATTAATAAACTATTTTAGAAGGGGACATTATTATTCCGATAAAGATGTATTTCATCATGTCTAGAAAAATTAGTTATGTTGGTTAATTGCGATTAAAGTAAAATTGATTTAATCTTAACTTTAATGACAAGGTTCTTCAATTATTTAAGTTCATGTTTCATTCAATTATGTTTTTTTATATTGTGCATTAAACTATAATATTAGCTTTTAATTGAATTGGTACACTGGGGATTTTTTTAAAAGTGTAAATAGGTGTAAGTAAGGGCGGTATCTGGCTATATCTCGAAAACTGTTTATCTGGACGATTTCGCATTTTTTTACAAAATCGTTAAAAAAATACTTAAAAATTATTTTAACTTTGTAACATTCCGCTATGTCACGTGATTATACCACAATTGTGTTTTCATAAAAAAATCTATATAATTTGAAACCAAGCTTTAAAAAAACTAAATAATATTTTGAAGTGTAATGTGTTTCATTATTTTTCTGTGTTGGTTGTGTGGGTTGTAACGGAAAAACAACATCTTAATATGTTTAGTTTTAAAGAAAATTCCTAGGTAAGTCAATGCGATTATATGTGGTTTAGGTACCAAAAGTCAAAGTAATTTTTCGAGTACTTTAGAACGAGTTTAGACCAACTCAGTTTTCCGAAAGGTTCATTTAAAGTCAACCGCGCATATACGGCAGATTTCTATGGGCGAACGCCAACCTTAACAAAAAAAGTAAAAGTCAAATTTTCTCTAATTTAATAAGAATACAATAGATGGCCACCCTACCCTAAATTGTTCCAAAAATATATATTTAGATAGCTTTACTAATCGAACATTTTTAGAAAAATTAACGGTAGTAAAACATATCTTCTACCAACTTTAATTTTTTTTGGTCACTAGTCAAAGGCAAAAAGTGATTAGGTTGAAGGATATTAATAATGTTTTTACTCACCAGTCTATTTCTCTGTTTCCCTTCTTGTCCATGTAAAACTGAATTAAATTCACTAGAATCGTCAAAAAAACTAATCTGCTGATCATTATTATTTAACAGCCAGCTATCAGTAGGTTTTCTTCTGTTAAATTTTAGACCTGTCAAAAATATTTATGATTGAAAGAAAACATTTAATGTAATTGTTTTGATTAGCAAAATACAAATGTATCTACTAAATCTAAATATTTAATTATATGACATTTAAGCTTTTTTTTATATATTTCAAAAAGTTGAAAACTGTTGGAAATTTAATGTGAACATTTATGTGCATTGTTTTATATCGGGTGTTATTATAATCGACTGAGAACGCTCTACTCCAGAGATCTCTTATTGATACATTTTAATACAGGAACATGAACCCTTACAGGGTGTCAAAAGTTTTAAAACATTTATGTAACAAAACTAATTTAAAAACTAGTTTAAGATCTTGTCAAATACACTTGATTAGAATTTCGAAATATTGAGCAGTTACAAATTATCTAAGTACTTGGCTGCATAAAAGGTTATTATTTTTTAACTAAATATTAACAGATAACTTGAAAAAAATATTTGTTCAGGTGACGTAAAAAATAGTGGGATAAAAGTTGTCACTAACACTGACAGAGCGCCACCGGTTAAATTTTTCAAAAGTTGGTTTATGTCAAAATATTACTTTCTTAAAAAGAATATATAAGGATTCATATTCCTACATCAAAATTCATCAATTAATGAGAGCTCTCTGGGAGAGCGTTCTTGGTTGCAGCGACTGTAGATAAATGATATTACTGAAAATCTTTGCCATAATGATTTGCAACGAGCTGTCTTGTCTATTCTACAACCTTCTCTCGCATGCGGTAAAAGTGTTGTCACTGTCACTTATAACTAATAACTACACACTATATTAGTGATTACGTAGTTTGTGTTCCACCGACAAAGGCAGTAGACTTATATAAGGTTGCGATATACAAGGTAATCTCTCTACAATACGTAAAATAATGAATAATGGATTATTTATGTACAATTTGTGTACTATTTCAGTGATATTTGTGTACTATTTGAGTACTCTTTTTGTATTATTTGAGGCAAAATTTTCCCAGCGTTTTACCCCTTGTTATTCCCCAAGTGTTCAAAAATAATTAATTATAATAAAGAAAAAAAAATTGAGCAATATTTACATTTTATTTCATCTTTTCTACAATCTCATTCTCATTACATTAAGCATATAAAATAATTTTATCACTTCAAATAGATGTATGAAAAATCTTGTTATACAACACTAATTTGTTCTATATAACAGGACTCGAAATAAGTTAAACATGGTATGAAAATGACATTTTTTGAAATCAATAAGTAAATACCAAATTTTCGACGTAATCAATGATTCATTGTTAACTAATACCCAATAATACTGATTTTGAAGGTTTGGGTTCTTTATAACTAATAGTAGTTACACTTTCATAATTTTGATATTTTAGTCAGAACTCCAAACACAAATCGCAGTGATTTACCGCAGAAGAAGAATACACTATAGTGTAAACCACGCTTGTGATTAATAATCAATGTAAACTCTTTGAAATATTTACAAAAATGTTTTAAATTTCTTTTTAGTCCTATTTACTTTTCTTGAAGCGATTATAGTATATATACATAATATTAATAATTTCAACAACCAATTCATCTGGTCTACTATAATAATTAAAAGAATGGTTGTATTTTTTTTTTTTTTTAATTTGACTTGGACGAGGTAGAGTTAAAAGAACGTCTCCTTCAAGTTACCGGTAAAGAAGTAAATAGGTTGCCATTTGATGTTTTTAACAAAATGGTTCACTGATCCCTGTAAATTTAATTTTGATTTATTCAATCATTTGGGTTATCAAAGCCGCTTTTTATATCAAAAAACTTCATGTTATTTAAAGACTTTTCATGAGAAAATCCACTCTTGTATATATTCTGGTTATTGTGGGAACTGATTATGTGCCTTCTTAGGTAGAGATCTGTCTTGAACTGTTTCTGACAATATACGCATTGCACATATGTTGGATAATGAATTAATCTCATATGTTGCCGCAAATTGGAAAGGTTACTGTATACTTTCCCGCATTCGTCACATGGTCTGGGATCCAGTGAGTGAAGTTTCCTCGTGTCGTTGCCTGCAACAAACCAATTTTCAATAAAAAAATAGATCGTTGCAAACAAGACCCGAACACAGAACGGTCACCCCCAGAGTTAGGAGAATACAATTTAAAAAGCTACAGTTTTCATGTTTATCATCTTTTACTATATAATTATTATTCAATTTGTATCGGTATCCACTAGTAGACAATATTCTATTAGAGAAAAGTACATAGGCGTCATAGTTGACGGTAGTCGCAGAAATCAAATTGTGCCTTGTTTGCCTAGCAACGATCACTTCAGTGACGCGCAGCGATTTGTAATTTGTAAACGTTTGTCGATGCGTTTAAAATAGGCAACCATCCATTTTTTATCTTTGAGGTTGTGTTTGGAAGAGTTAATTTATAGAATATTTGCGATTTTTGTTGGCTGTTGTCGAGATTCAGGTCTGTGGCAGGACCAGGTCTGTGGCAGGACAACGTCTGCCTGCCGAATCCTCTAGTCATTTTATAAATATAAATTAGGAATACATATAGAATGTGCGATTGACAACAATGGCGCAACAGAGATTTACGACGTTGTTTCACTAATTTTTCTAAAAAGTACACAACATAATTTCGTATCGACAAAAACTCAGTCGTCAAATACGTTATTGTATCTACGGCACCAATTTTAAAAACTCGCGTTTGGAACAACAACGCAAACGTCTCACGTGGCAACTACAATCAAGATATTGTTTAATAGGGAAGTTTGTTACTTTTTATCAATTCCGGCGCAGATAACTAACAAAATTAAAAATTTGCACTCATGTCATTGTTCCACCGAAGAAATATGTGTGGCATCCAAATATGTTTCAAAATGTTTTAATTTTTTTTTATTGTTACTTAAAAAAATTGGCATTTGCAAAATGAACTTGAGGGCTAGACAGCCATATACACATATATTATTAGGCATCCCAAACATAACAGTTGTTCAGTCTGAAAGTGAGTAGATCTAACAACAAAACTGTTGCACATAAGTCTAACATAGGAATTGTCACCACCATCTTCATGGGTACAACCTTAAACTTAGCACAAACAAATTTTACTTTTGAATCACCGCTGTCCGATGTAAATTCACCGCTGTCCGATATAAATTTTAAATAAACTACCGCACCATAACCTTCTTGACAGGCATCTTTGAATGCTAACAACATAATTGGAATTTCCGACTTTACTTACAAACTGTTTGAGTTCTGGCCATTCATTCCGTACCACTTGGACGCAACTAACTCCGACGGACTATCATCCCATCTGAGGTTCAAAAGCCATAACTCCAACAATTTAAGATAAAAAATAAATGGTGCAAGTACAACCAACTAAATCATACCAACGACTTACTGCTGACAATATTGACCTTTTTGCACAACGAAAATCCAGAAGCGCTAACTTAAGTCCCAACGTATCTAATGAACGATTTCATTGCAATCCCAAAATCTTGATATCCGTTTCAAATACAACAGCTTTAGCCAATCGCTTATCTAATGGAATTTGGCCTAGAAGAATATCAGAATATCCCCTAAACCCTTGGAGAATCTTTAAAAGGAAGTACTACCGAAAACTTCCCCTAAGAAAACCTACTATACGTTTCTAAAAAAATACTATCACATTTCTTTTCCGCTGATTCTGGTAACGGTTTCTTAGGTTCTTGTTTTAATCCCTAAAATTTACTAACCAATTGTTCAATAGGTGTCCCATCTGAAAGACTAAAAAGAACACGTCCTTGTGGCAATCTTTTATCAACAGAAACCTTCCCCATAACTATATATCCAAAAAGTTTCGATTCGCCAAGAATGTACCATCTGAGCCAATCACTCGACCTGATTCTATTATTTCTGCAAATAGTTCCGCTCCAATTATACCATCAACTAACTGAATATCACGTAAATTAAAGAAAGCAGTTTCTTTGTTAACTTGAACTAGTAGAAGATAGTTTATTAAAAATGTCTGCTATGAGTGCTCGCAATGAATACACTTTATTTTCATAATACCGAGAACCTACTATTAAATTCGAAACACCCTTTATCGGTCGAGTTATTCGCCAAACCTTCAACAGATGAATATAATTGCGAAATCTTAATACCCAACCTTTTACAAGCTTGTGTGGTAAATAAATGTCAATGATAAACCTAGCCTGACCGCCTTCCACTGAACAATTAATAATGTTAATGACAACCGTTGGTAATATTACTAAATTCGCCCCATTTTGTACCGCATAATGTTTCCCATCATTTTCAACAGTCGGTAATTCCCAACCCCATCTATTTTGAATGTTTCTCCTAAATTATGATCAATCTGTAGTTTTGAACCTGCTACTGTATTTGTTTTACCGAGTTGTAATAAGGTATGGTGTTCATTAGAACGTTCTACACACGTTCTATCAACCGAACAATCTCTAACCCCGATATTAGAAAATAAAAAATTAAAACCAATTGATATTACGTATCTCTTAGTAGGATTTAAGCTAAATAATGTCTTTTACTATTGCACTATTAGGCATTCCAATCAAAATGGCTACCAGTGGGTTTTAACAAACTATGATATGGCAACGTTATGGCAACCCTGTAGGCTAGGTGATTTGACAGGTTCAATGAAATGGATAGTTATATAAATTGATCATCCATGTTTTTTAAAATAGACATAAGCTTATGCCTTGAAGTAAAAATGTTGATAATTATTTTTTTGCTATATTGAAAAGATTAAAATTGGTTTTAAAACACATTTTTGCTAAACCGATTCAAATTAATGAAAACTTGCCAGGCAATTTGGCCGCTCGCAAACGACCCGCTTTGAGCAATCAATATATGTGTATCATCATTGACACTGTCAATGACAACAGGTCCACAGGGTTGCCATATCTAAACTGTCAGTTCCCACTTGTCAGCATTTTGACAAGTCATTGGAATGCCTAATTGACAAAAGAATTAAATTTAGAAAATTTCGAATTATTATTAATAACCACAAATGACTTTGATGTCTTAAATTTATTAACAAAATTAACTTTATTAATAATTAGCTTCCTTCTAGATAATATCTTAGGACTGTTCTTCAACAAAAGTAAACAATTCCTCATATTTGGGAATATCTGAACCTCTCTTTAACATATCAAACGTTTTAATCGTTTCTGGATCTAGCTTTGTTAAAGCAACATGTACCAAAATTATATCAGTTAAATTATTTACTCTCAAATATTTTAAAGCTTTAACGGCAGAATTAAATTTTTCTAAAAACAGTTCAAGTTCGTTTAAAATCCATAATTTGATCTAAGTGACTATTTGCTAAATATTTATCTTGGTATCTACCTACCAGAACGTTCAAAATAATTGAATAGTTACCACCAGTTGGTGTTAGAACAGAAGTAAAAGTTGGACAGGCTTTTGCCAGTTCTCCCACTTTATACACATAAATTGACAGGTTTGCTGCGGATCTCACCGAAGTGGACGCGATACATTGGTGTACAAAATTATTTTATATATGTTAATAACAATTTCGAGTAAATAGTTTAATAAATTGTGAATAGCTGTTGAAATTTGGTAAAATTATGATTTGAATATTATAATACATGTTTAATAATTAAGTCCATAAATACATGCGATTGTCCGGTTCCGCCGATAACAATTTAAAATTACTTATTCTATGAAACGACACTGGCAGGTAAACATTACTGCGAAATTCTCGAAGCTGTCCGACGTGGTTTGACGTTTACCCCCTCTCTGCCTACCAAAAGCCTTTCCAACTTTTACTTCCCCTATACCCCTGAACTTACTCCGAAAGCCTGGCCTTTGAGACGAACTAATAAGTAGTAAACCTTATCAATATGAGACAAAGCTTTATTATTGTAAATTAAACTTTTAAAAATTGATTCAAAAGTTTTCCAGTACCGAATATCTCCAGAAAATTTGGGTATTTCAATCTTTGGAAGTCGCGGTAAACTATGACCTGCACCATTCTCCCCCACACCGGACCTGGAGGGTGTATCAGTTCGCAATTGATCTGCAATTTCCTTAATATTGCAATATAAACCGTCTATTGTTTGATAAATCGCAAAATTTGGAACAAACGTTTCATCAACATCTAAATTCGTTTTACTTTCCATTTCTACTGTTTCTAATAACTTTTGTCGAGTTTCTTCTAAAGATCTATACAAAATTTCAACATGTTTTTAGCCAAGCCGTATCGTAAACTTTTTTAGATAAATCATGAAGACGTTGCAAAGAACCAAATAAAGCCTGTTTTTTTGGTAGTCAAAACCTTTAGTTCTCTCTCTTCCACTCCAGGCATTTTTAGAAATTACAACACTCTACAAAATATTAAATAATGTTAAATTATTTCTCAATTAAACCTTTATACCTATATAGTAGATTTATTATAAGTGGTAGAGATTCAAATTTTGCTAATGATTAAGAGCTGAAAGCCGACCTCTGTCCATAAACTAAAAAAACACAAAGGTCAAACAAACGTATTTTCACCAGTAGAAATTTCGTTTTTTACCGTTTATTAAACTAACTTAAATTTAAATCAAAATTAATCTGTTAAAAACAAATACTTTTTATTTGTACAACCGATTTGTACCGAATAAGTGACCTTTGCACTCTAAAACTATTTACCGATTAAATAGCGAAAAGAAACGCTGAAAAATCTACTAGATACTAACAATTAATTTATTATTAATAGTCACTCAAAAAATAAACCGAATTCCCGTATTATACGACAATCAACAACTATTATCCGACTCGAAGGACCAAAAATGTTATGGACAATTGCCTTATGGGCTAAATAAATAAACTTACCGATGTGATGATCGTATTCTAAAGGAACTGTCGATGAGCCCTTTAGAAATAGGGTTAGGGAGAGGAAGGGAAGTGTACAATTTATATAATATTAAACTACTAAATTTAAGCCCGATTTCTCTTATTCTATTACGATCGGCCTTAACTCTTAACTGCGTAGTACCGAGTGTGCAGAACACACTAAAATACAGAATGCGACATTGCCACGTCTTAAATTATATATGAACTTTACTGCAAACATTAAATATATTCATAAATTTAAATATTTAAAATGGCGCTGACTATAACGACGCAAATGTACTTTTTTTCTAATGGAATTGTGTCTACTGACAATCAAGGCTACCACTGATTTAACAGTATATTCAATTCGAATCCCAATATCATTATAATTCTTATCTGTTGTGCTACCTAAACAGTCTTGTCGAGAATACACGGGGTGACAGGAGCAAGGTTTGAACCTCTTGTGACTTTTTGCTTGTTTAGGTTTATTATCAATTTCTTTTTACAAAATTCCTAAGTCCATTCTCACAGTGATATGTCTCTGATTCAAATATTTAGGGAACTAATGACGAAGGAGGAATTTCAGTATGTGGCTTAGGCACTGTAAAAGGATAGTTTAAGACACTTCTGATAAGTTTATCAGTTTCTTTATTTCCTTTAAAGTTGCTATGCCTAGGTATCTAAACATCATTTATCTGTTTTGATATTCTGCCAGAGAATTGACTGAATGTTTTCTATCCAATACCAGTTTGGATGATATTTTTACCGTTTGTAGTGCTTTTTGAGCTGTCTGGTTGCCAGTTTCTTTTTTTATCATCTAGTATTTATGTATAAATTATCTGTATATTAAATGTGGGTATCGAGTTAATCTGATAATTTGTCTTAGAGTAGGTACACCAATTTGGAACTACATACTAAGTAATTTTATTTTTTATAAAATATTGTGAGATGTTAGACGGATGTGCACTCACCTTATTCTTTTGATTTTTATTGTGTTTACGAAAGTTGGTGACATGTGTTTGATCTCTTTTTCTATTTTTTTTTTGTAGCTCTTACAGAGTTTACCGTCTGAGTTTACCTTATTTGGACAGGATAGGAGTTCTAATTATGTTGGTATACCAAAGAGCCTGTTCTTATTATTTACTTGCAAGACAATTGGGAATTTTTAAACTTGGAGTAGCCATGTGTAAGTTGGTTAAATTAAAAGGTACAAAAGAAAAAGGTTTTTTGGATCTCACAAAGATATGATTTTTATATACTGCGAACGGTTTCGAAGTGTATCACTTCATCATCTGGCATGCCTAGTGGGTAAGAAAAGTAAATTGGTGAAATTTCTATTGTTAGCAAGATGAACCAATGAAGCAATGAATTAATTTAAGAAACATTAACCATACTATTCCATTAATAATACTAATATTTATTTATTCATACAAAAAAAAACTTAAGTCATTGTTAATGTACTAAACTGAATGAAAAAATTTCTAACGAATATTGAGAAAATGTTGAAAGTGCAATAACTGTAAAAGAATAGTAATAAATAAACAGATGAGCTTAATAAATTTAATACCTGTTTTTTAATAGAGAGGTAAGATGGATTTTGAAACTAAACAACAGGTTTAAATGATTTTAAAAAAATTTAACAAGTGCTGCCGTCCAGTAGAGAGTGGCCAAAATTGTAGTTTAGCAACGGTTTTAAGACATAATGTACAAATAACGGACATCACTAGGTGGCCATTCCATAATAGTTTAAATAGCTGAAAAAGGACATATAAACAAATGAAAACCAAATAATTGTGAATAAGACGAAATTTGATAAAAAATTATTAGTTTTAAGCTAAAATTTTTATTTGTTTATGTTAAACCTTTAAACAAATTACTAATCTAGGGAAATACTAATTTTAGGGAGACACAGTGGGTGCGCCTGTGAAGCGAAAAAATGGCGGATCTGAGAAATTTTAAATTTGATATTTGACAATATTAAGGAAAAATAAAATTAAAACCATGTGTGGAAAAAAAATAAGGAAAACTGGGAGATAAATGATTTAGCCGCAAGGGCAATATAGTAAGCGAAAAAAGAGATGAAAGCAAAGAAGAAAAAATTTGTTGCATATTATAAGAGTTGAACAAGTGATTGTTTTAATAATTACAGCAATGTGGAGAAAATCGGAGAAGACACAAATTGTATCTTCAAAATTTTAAATTTAAATCATTCAAACTATCTGTTTAGTTTCAGAATACATCTTGTATCTCTATTAAAAAACATGTATCAAATTTATAAAGCTCATCTGTGTAATGTGGGTCATATTTTTAAATAATTGTTTTTTATCCTGTGACGTTTTCTTTTAAATTATTTTAACCTTTGAAATGTACCAATGTTTTTTAACAACAGTGTATATTTAAAAAATCTGATGTGTCCAACACATGACTTTCCTATCTAGTTAGTATAGGCTTTTTCCGGTTATTTTGTACAACCTATTGCAGCACCTCTATAAATATTTAGAGGATAAACTAAATATATACATTTTCCCATACATCTACCTCGAAACATTTTTCTATAGATATTCATTGAAAACGAAAATACTGAAAAATTTAAATTTAGCACTCTTCCTCCAATTTTTCCATTACGGTCCATTTTATAAAAATCATATATAAACAAACATTATACAGATCGATATCGCAAACAACTTTTAGTTCAACAATTTTCATAAAAATCAGAATTTTTCACATTTTGTCAAATTTCTCGAATACGGACCATTTTAGGAAAATTTTGTATAGAACAAAAATTATATATAATATTTGAAGTGACTTTTATTTGAAGAATTTTCTTATCCAAACGTAAATAACAGATATATTTCATAAAGTATAAAAATGACCACCTATAAAGTACACCCCCAGATGTTCCGACTCTGCCCATAAACTAATCAGTTCATTGGACGATGGAATAAAGCTTAAGTTTAAAATTTGGTGTTTTTCTGTGTATCGGTTCATGAGTTATGGTGGATACAGACACACACACAGACATCATCGCGAAAATAGTCAAAACGGATTCAGGGGACCTCAAAACGTAAAAAATCCGTCGAAAACTCGAGGTCGAAAAAAATCATGATTCCTATACTTTCCTTATATCTGTATACAGATAGGAAAATAAAAATGTGCAGTTCGTTCGCCCTCTTTATTAACATTAGGTTTGTTCCAACTTGGTGTTTGGTCCGTTCTCGTATGAACGATGTATTGCGCAAGCGCATCTCTGAATGGTTTTGGAATCGGAAATGGGTTGGAACCACAAAGCACAAATGACATTTCTTATGCTATGGACTTCAAACTCTAGTCCAATCTTTAGATGAGTTTAGAAATTTAATGCATATATAATTTTAGTTTTAAGCCTCTAAGGCTTACAGACAGTAAATCAATAATATTTGACAATGTCCTACTCTTTAAGTTCTCGTTCTATGTTTAACTAGAACCCAGCCATTACAAATACATTTTTAATAAATTTTCTTATATGATAATAAAATTTATTTGGTTAAGATTTTTGTTTGTAATAAGTGAAGATAACATTTTAGTACAATTTTAATCAGGCTTACCTAATGCTAAATGTTCATATTTTCCATCTTTTTCAAGAAAATTAGATGTTTGAGGTATTATTTCCATTCCACCTAAAAAATAGAGCACTAATCAACATTTAAATATTGCAAAAGAGCATTTTTAGAAAATAATTCAATATCTATAGAACATAATACGAAGACGAAATTTGAGCACGACGCCGTAGACGAAGTGCTCAATCGTCTGAGTGCGATGTGGACAATCCACTCGAGTTGTACAGTATATTTTTTCTACGACCCACTAACGAAAATTTACAAATAAAAAAAAATATTTTAGTTTATTAAGACAAAATAACTAATTTTAAAATAATTAATGACTTTTAATAATTTTTAAAATAAAATAAACGGAAAAAAAGTTTATTTCATAGCTTATAATGGTCTTAAATAAGCTATAAATAAGATGTCTTTAAGACGTCTTATTAATGGCTTATAATGGTCTTGTGAAGCTTTAAATAAGCCATAAATAAGACGACTTATCAATAGCTTATAAGGTCTTGTGAAGCCTTAAATAAGACGTCTTTAAGACGTCTTATTAATGGCTTATAATGGTCCTGTGAAGCCATAAATAAGACGTCTTTAAGATGTCTTATGAACGTAGGACGTCGAATATCTTGGTTATTAAAAAGTAGAACAACCTTGCAGATTATAAATAATGCAAAAAATAGAATTAAAATATTTATTGATAAAATATCTATCAATCACAGGTAACTAAGAGTTATTTTCTTTGTAGCGCATTCGATCACTCCTCGTTAGCCATAATTGGATTGATTTTTCTCTTTGATTTGTAGTTGCCTTTATATAGCTCCTAAAAAGAAATTTAGTTAAAAGCATCTAGTCACAGAAAATTATACTTTGTAAAAGTTAGTAAAAACCGAAAGAACAGTTATCTATAAAATAAAACAAAAAATTAATTTCTTAGAATTTTAAATCAAAGAATTTTTATAATCATTTAATGCAATATGAGCTATTATGCTTAATCGCCAACTTTAACAATTTTACTTTAACTTAACTCAAAATGGCCATCTAATAGGAAGTTTTTGATATTAATAGTTCTCAAAATCTCCATAAAAACAAAACAAAAATATAATTGACGAATATCTGAATTAAATCTTACATTAAGATGTTTACTTTTAAATTAATTTAATTATTCTTAGAAGACACAGGATATTAATGTTCTATGTATATAAACAGATATTCATTTATTACCTGTATTCCAGGAACGTGCTACATCAGTAACAAACTATTCTTCCCTCTCTGGTTTTGTCCCATATTAAGTAGAAAGAGACACAAATGCTCAAAATAGCCCAAAGTCGCTTTTGGTGGCTATAATCGCATACGCAAATAAAATAATCAATAATCCACAATTAGCTTAGGCCATACAAATTGTTGGCTTGAGCTTGATAATGTACTTCTATTATTCGTTGTATATGGGCTCAATCTTTTCACTTTTCTACTGCACTTGATATTTGATTTTAATATTCTTCTCCAAATAATGCACTGAATATTTTGTTATACTAGATATTTTGTGATTTTTATGGGACTTCTGGGCTCCCGATTCGGAGACCGCCATTTCAATGTTGCCAAGACGGTGTTATTTTTATATATAATGAGTCATATATTATAAAAGAACCTAATTAGTTCATATTAATTTTTGTAATTATTTAAGTCACATTATATTCTATTATATCTATTTTTAAAATCTTTTTATTCAATACATTAACATTAATGCACTATATATATTTAAATCATGTATAGTAAAAGTAAATAATTCGGCAGCCTATGAGCAACCGTTAGGTCATAAATAGGCTACCAGGTTATCTACATATAACATTATCCCTTGTATAAATAATTATTGTACTAATAAAAGTGTATTTATAATGTATATGTATGTACACCATAATGCTGAATAAATAAAGATTATTATTATTTAGTGTGTTGTCTGGGTTCTATTCTTTGGGCATAGACTCTTCAATATAATCCCATTGCACCTGAAACAAATTATTAAATTAAAGCTGTTTAAAATCAAAATTAAAGATTACATAAAGAAAAAGAAAATTACGTTTTTGGAAGTTATAAAATAAAACAATTCATAAGGCACACCTATTCTGTAAATGTAACCCACTCTGTAAATATATGTAAATAAATATAAAAAATATTTTTTGCTCTGTTTACCTTTTGCTGCTTTCCTTATATCTATTTTTATTACTATACACAACAAAAAGTTTATTTTTTCCCTGATCCACCACTCCTTGTTTCCCTCATATAGGTATCAACTCAGTTCTTGCTAGGTTCTCTTCACAGGTAATGTACAGAAACATGCGGAACGAGCATTTAGCAAGACAGGCAACTTGCTCTTTCTGCGGTTTCTTTTTCATTGTTGTATCAATACCTTGTATTATTTATATATTATAATTATGTACTTTATTATAAAAAATTAATAAAATTGAATTGAAGTGAGAAGTTTTTTAAAACACACAAAAATATCAGTACCTACAATGTAAATAAATTAAAACCACATAATGTATACATTTGCTGGTTCTATTAAATAAACGAATTATATAGTGTACACTTGTTTTAATTTTACCTAAATAACATACACAACATCATAACGAATATGTCAGCAATTTGCAAATAAAAATAAAATGAAAAGTTATAGCGTCCCCATATTTTATCACTCGATGACATTATGTGTGATTTGATTCAAATTTTGTACCCCAAGTGAGCTTATCTGTTCATCCTAGTATCATGAGTCAGAACGCTTGCCTTCCATGCAAAGGCACGAGTTTGAATCTCGGAATAGGGACAAATTAAATTAATTTTTTTTTTGTTTATTTTATTTTATAAATCAGTGAAAGTTTAAAATTATTTTTAAATTAGGTATTTTATCTTAGTAACCTAAAATAATTTTCAATATTTGTAAATTTTCAATAGTGGGTCGTAGAAAAAATAAACTGTACAACTCGAGTGGGCAATCTAATCGAGTTGTACAGTATCACATAGACTACTATTTTATGTTTACATAATTTTTGAACTGGTCAATGACAAAAAGTTGAATATAAAATTGATTACCTGGCAATTCACTAATATCTGTTGATGGGTAAAGTCCTGTGAACCCACCAGTATCATTATCTTCTCTAACATCAGCTTCATCTGCATCATCACTTAAATAATCAGCATTTTCAAGTTTTGGCAACAACTTTTTTACATAATCCTTGTCACTTTCCTCCTTTGAATCTTCCCTTAATCCAAAAGAATCTTCTGCAGTATTTTGTCTTGGAGACAATATCTCTGATTCAGACTTACAAAGCCTCTTTGGAGGTGGACTAGAAATATTTGGCAATGCCTCCGGGACATCTTGACTAGAAGTTACTATTGTAGATGATGATATCTGTTTAGACCTATCTATTTTATGTTTAGGGTTTTTATTAAAACCAAGACTATCTTCCTCTTTGTTTAAAGCTGATGAAGTATCAGTTAAACCACGAATTTTTAAAGACTCTGCTGTTTTTAGGAATGCAGAGAGATGTGTTTGAGCAACATTTACTTCCCCTGCATACATAAATTCCATCAGAGCAGTGATATGTTGAGCTTCTACATCACGCATGAAGATTATTGGGTGAGGGCAGGGGTTTGTCTAAAATATTTATTTTTATAGTATTAGTATAGAATTTAAGTAGAATTGCCTATTACAGGATGGGAAAATAAAGCGATTTAAAAAAATCAAGCAATTTAATGACTAATAATTTTTCATTCCTTTTTCAATTATTAGATGTTAGATTTTTGACTAGGTATTATAAGTATGAACAAATATTATTGAACCAAAATGGTCAAAATGCTCCTAGAAAATATCTTCTGGAATTTATATTCCAAAAAATAAAGACATTTGTTCCATAAACCAATTACCAGATTATTCAGCAAGAGTAACAGTTTGGTTGGCCATAACAGGCTATTGTTTTTTAGAACCTTATTTATTTAAGAATGATGATCGTGTATTAAACTCAGTGCTGGGAAATATGTAAAACTGAAACTTTTATACTAGTAGCAGTATCACCTAATACATTGAAACCTAAGCTATCAGCTGTACCTATCAGCCCACACCATGGTACAATGGGTCACAAGGCTTAAGGCATAATCAATCTCTAAATGTATAATTTTTTAACAACAAAGACACAATGAAACTTTCAAAGAGGTCATGTAAAATATCTAGAGAAAGCAATATCTATGTTTGTGAATAAGAAAAAAGAATCATTTTGCCATAATTATGATTTAGACAGTTAATTTATTTAATCACTTCATTTTTCTCCACTGAATATATGTAGGCATTGAAAATATAGATACCCCCATCGAAGAAGGTTGTAACTCAATTTTAGTGATTTTCAGGAATGTCAGAAAGCTAAAAATAATGTTTTTAAATATTTGTGGAGAAACTGTATAATACTCTAATAGTAAACAAATAAGAAAATTAGAACACAGTAGAGGTTACTTAAGAGATAATGAATGTTAAAATTTTATAAATAATTAATAAGTTTCTACATTAAAAAATTATGCAAAAAGAAGGCTATAACTCATTTCCCAAAGTTTTATAATAAAAAGGCGTTACTGCCTTTTTAAGGTTGAAATGGTACAGATAACTTGAAATGCAACTTTTTCAAATGAAGGTCATACAAATTGAGATTCGTTTTTATACTGATGGATTCACCTCATTATGCTGAATAATCCTGTAGCTGAATTTAAAAGGGACATATCGTGAGTTGCAACCTTCTTGGATGAGGTGTCAATATAATAATAACAACAACAATAATTAATAATAATAATAATAATAATAGGTAGGTGGTAGATACTTATATGAAACAAAATGAAATAATTAGGACTATTTTTATCTATATGTAATTTTGTAACGTTTTAATAAAAAAAATATATAAGGAAGTTTTCATTAATTTAGTGCATATAGGACAAAAACTTTTTTGTTCGATACTTGAAAGTGAACTTTTTCTGTAGAAACCTCTTTAGAAAATGATTTAAAAACTTCACAATATTCATAAATATTTTGTAAAGTGCCTTCATAGTTTGAAATATTTCAAGCATGGCACATCTAAACCTTATTATAAGTACGAGCCCTAACAACTATATTATGTTCAAACAAGCAAGTAATTACAAAAAAAAATAGTTTTAATATAAATTTATATTAATTCTTTTTGGTATAAACCGTAAAGAAGAAAGTAGTAATATTTTCAGTGTCTTTTGACATACTAGAAAGAACAATTTTTTTTTATTTATTGCAATAAATTTAAATATTTGATATTCAAAAAGGCTGACAACTAAATGTTGGAACAGGAATGCAAATTGAAAAAAAGTTAATAAGATGTAACATCTGAATAACTGCCTGAAGTCTATCAGGCATAGTATCGACAAGACCTTTGCAGAATTCTGGTGTAAAACTATCCCAAATTTCTTGCAATTTAGCACCCAATTTAACGCATTGTTTTACCTTTATGGTATTGCTATATGATAATTTTGATCACTTTTTGATCAGTTGGTATCCCATGTCCAATTATTTTCAAAATAATTCACAAACTATCTGGTTTGACAACAGTTTTGACAACAATAGAATAAGCTGTAGACTGTGTTTGCTTTTATTACAAAACTGTCATAATCACAGACATAGGAATAACATCGACAAATAGTAAAAAATGTGAAATAAACAATAAGTGTTCCAACATTTAGTTGTCAGCGTTTTGTAATGTCAAAATGAATTAATTGCAATAAATTAGAGAAAATATAAATTTGCTCTTTCTAGTAAATCAAAATGATAGTGTAAATGTTAGTAATTGCTTCTTAGTAGTTAAAACAAAAGTTATAGATTTAGAATAAAATATTTTTTTTCAAAAATAGTTGTTTGTTCCAACATATAGTTGTTAGGGCACGTATGTGGTCCAGACGTGCCATGCAAGGTTACTAAACGCACTCCAGATTACTTAAGATTTCCCTAAATACATTGTATAAAAATCATATTTATTTACATTTACTAACTTCCTATTTATCATATTATTATATTAGAGTGATCATATTTCTTTTGACCAAATGCTGGACAGGCTAACAGCGCCTAACGGGGGAGGGGGTAGAAATGATTCAAAAAAATAGAACCACAGAAATCTGTTATTTCTTTAAACACAAAACAACCAAAAATTATTATAAACCACTAAAAAAAACATGCATACAGCAGAAATAAAATAAAACAAGGAGAGTCAGCTGATTAGTGCCTAAACTTTAATATTTGATTGTTTGCTGGACAATAATGGTGTTTTTCTGGACAATAATGGTACTTTGCTGAACAAAATAAAATACTGGAGACTTTGAAAATGCTGTAGAATACAGCGAAATGCTCTAAGTATGGTCACTGTATCAATTATTTTAAAATTACAATCTACCTGTTTAAAAAAGAAAACATCTATAAGTACAACAAATTTTGTCAAAAAATTAATAAGAATAATTTCAACATTCTTCAAGTAAATATTACTTACCTTAAATAGTTCTTTAAAAAAGGGACTACATGCTGATAAAACAACTTTATGAGCTTGCATTTTTTGGCCATCACATGCAATTGTAACATCAGTAAAATCTTCATCATCACGCAGTGTTTCAAATTGAGATGTTATATTAGCCTGAAAATTATTCCACTTCAAACAAAACTGTTGATCATCTACAATTGCCATCCTGTACCACCAAAATAGAAATTTTAATATTGCTTTTCACTTAAACTTGGGAAACACTCACATAAAAGGACCATTTCAGCCTTAAAAATAAACGATCTTATACTTTTAATTTTAATCAATATTTAAGTCTTTCTTTTGACCAACCAAGAAAAAGATGTTTTCCCTGTTTTGTCTGGGAAAATTTGGAAGTGTTTGAGAAATGTTTTTGAATCTCATGATAAACTTAATTATTGGACATTGTAATCTTTAGTTTATAAATACGTAGTTCCAAAAATATTTTGTTAGTAAATTTCATTTTTGTTACTAGGTTATTTGATGGGATGGTAATTGTAACCTAAAAAAATGTTTTGAATACAGAATGTATAAAAATAGGACTATTTTTAAAGATAATCACTAGAAATGTTCAAATACAATTAAATTGAACCAGTTTTATAAATTTAAAAAAAAGTTTGAAAAAACGGTTATAATTAAAATCCGGTTGGTAGTTCGGAAAGAAAGTCGATATTTTTTTTCTTTTGGTAGTTCAAATTTCAAACACGTGATCGATGACCGATGACAGGTGACAGAAACGACTAAAGGAGAGTTCGGATAGTGAGGGGCTGGCGCGGGACAAAAGCGGAGTTTTTTTAGGGTGCTTTTAAATGATATTTAAGCGTGTTAAACTGTCACTAATTGCACGTAAACCTTAGAGCATAGATAAATTAATAAATATTAATTTATCTATGCCTTAGAGCATATAAGACTAGATATATCATTCAATGTATTTTGTTATGTATAAGCGGGGTCATCACTTTAGTCGTGAGGGGAGAGGGGTAGGTACTCCATTCTCAATGGCGTACGGTTTGAAAAGGTTCGTTTTTATGTTTACCATTTATACAGTGTAATGTCACAATAACTAATAATTTAGATAATTGATTCGCATCATTAGGGGCCCATCATTTCACCTCTGAGTAAAGTTACACGTATGTTTACTTGACAGATTATTAGGCATTCCAAACAAAATGGCTGCCCGTTTGAAATGACAAAGCACATGATAGGTTATAATATGGCAACACTGTAAGCCTGGTGGTTTGATAGGGTCAATGATATAGACAGTTATATAGATTGATCAACCATGGTTTTAAAAATAAACATAAGCTTATGCCTTGAAGTAAAAATGTAGGCAATTATTTTTTTTTAAATATTCAAAGGCTAAAAATTGGTTTTAAAACACATTTTTTCTAAACCGATTCAAATTAGCCAGGCAATATGGCCGCTTGCAAACGACCCGCTTTAAGCAATCTATATAACTATATAGGTGACCCTGTTATTGACAACATGCCTACAGGGTTGCCACATCTAAACTGTCAGAACCCACTGGGGTGCTATTTTCAAAGTCGAGAGAATTCATTTCTCTCGAGAGAAATGTCATACGTCAACGTAAAACAGTATTTTTAGGGTCCTAAGGGCCAGTGTAAACTCACTGATTGTTTCTCACGGTTTATTTAGAGATAATAATATCCTCCTAAGAATTTTAATCCTCGAGGCCTTTAAAAACAGCGTTTCCACATTGACGTATGACATTTCTGATGAGAATCTTGAGAGAAATGAGTACTCACCATAGACATGAAGAGGGGAGATAGGAAAATGGCTGCCCGGGGGACCTATTTTCAAACCGTGTGAGTACTCATTTCTCTCAAGATTCTCATCAGAAATGTCATACGTCAATGTGGAAACGCTGTTTTTAAAGGCCTCGAGGATTAAAATTCTTAGGAGGATATTAATTATTTCTAAATAAACCGTGAGAAACAATCAGTGAGTTTATACTGGCCCTTAGGACCCTAAAAATTACTGTTTTACGTTGACGTATGACATTTCTCTCGAGAGAAATGAATTCTCTCGACTTTGAAAATAGCACCCCGGGTGGCAAGCAAAAACGTTTACGATAGCGTAAATGCGGGGGAGGATTTGAGTCTGCGCATTAGTTAGAATATTGTGACATTTGACATTTAGTTGTCTTGTGATTGTTGTAATTTTTAGCAATTTTTGTACGATTTTTAAAGTTTTTGTGAGTTTTGGAAAGTTATTTTGATCCCTAAAGACGTCCTAAAGACTTCTATAAACAATGGTTAAAACATGTTTAGTTTTATTCTGTCCAAACCGATGAAATAATTCCGAAGAACTTGTCATAAGTAAGTTTTTAACACCAATACAGACCCGTATTTAACAATTATTTTTGGATGAATCAATTAGGTATTTAATTATTGTTCTAGCCCAGTATCCATACTGGGGTTCTAATAAAAACCTTGTCTAGTTATATATAATTATTCGTTTTTATTTGTCTTTTAGGTTAGAAAAAAAAGGCTTAATGTAATGGAAGCTCCTATAAAGAAAATGTATGCCAAGGAAATATTTCAAAATCGTTCAAGCATTTCTTATTTTGAATTTTAGTCAGTGATAAAACTGTGATTAAAAAGAATGCCACTCCTACTTTATTTTGGCCAAGTAATAAAAAAAAGAACATGTTCCAGAAGCTCATGAACAGAAAATGTCACCAAAGGATGCTAGGTAAGTTTTATTTCTATTTCATTTAAATATAGGTAATACCCTATATGCGTGCTAACACTATTTATAATGAAGCCTTCTTTTTTTTAGTAAACTTTTCAAACCATTTTTTAATAGAATTTTAAGCAGTTCTAATAGTGCTGGCTTTAGAAGATCTACCAAAAGAAATTATTGAAAACTAACCAAAATCATTCATTAATGTGTAAGTTACCAGATTAAATGTGTTTCATAACCAGCATGTAGTTATAAATTATATTTATTAATTTTTATCTGTTTTAGGTTAGATAAAAAGTATTGGAAGATCACACAAAGAAAATTTTAAAATATGTTCGAAGCATTTTGAATTTTAGTCAGTGATAAAACTGTGATTAGAAGGAATGCTACTGCTACTTAATTTTTGCCAAGTAATCAAAAAGAGAACATGCTACAGAAGTTCATGCAAAGGAGGCTAGGTAGGTTTATTTATACTTCATTTAAACATAATGCCTATGCAGTCTATATTATACCACTGTTTTACAGAATTTTAAGCAATTTAGATAGTGGAGATGATCTCCCAATAGAAATTATTGAAAACGAAACAAAAGAATTCATTCTTATGTTTAAGTGACTTGATTGAATGTCATGTACTATTCGTTTCATATGCTTGCATTTGAATATGCACATTTTTTACCTCTGGAGCATTATTATTTGTTTGTTCACATCTACTACATCTGCGTTTGTTTATATTTTCTTTATTTAAAATGATATTTTGAGGATTGTCAAACCTGACATTTTTTGTTGTTGGATTCGTTCCATGCCAGGTTCAGTTACAGGTTTATCGATTTATCCTTTGTTTATGCTAGCCATATATGCTCATGAATATAAAAGTGATCATTTGTTTGATTTTTGTTAAGTTTTCAAATTTAGATTTTTTCTATAATATAGGTATCGCTAACCATCAGTAACTAGAGAGTAGGTATTTTAATTCAAAAAATATTTTTAAAGTAAATAATCATAAGAAAAATTACAACGACAACTACTTTTGTATTCATATTATAATGACTCAAAGGTCAAACACAAAAAGTATAAAACTTGTCATTGTCATTTTTACCACATGGCTAGTAGGTCTAGAGTGTTTCTTTATTACATCTACATTTAACCCTAATCTTCTGTTACGTGATAAAAATTCACATTTCATCAGATGCATCCTATATGATGATAAACAAGCACAGCTATAAGCATGCAAATTTAATAATCTTAAATCTTTCCATGTAAATATCTGTTAAATAGTGATTTTTTTTAATTGCAGAAATACAGTAAAGAAGACAGAAATGCAGATATCTAAACAAACTAAATGTGGTACAGATATCAAAAAAGACAGCAGACGTATAAATGATGCAATGTTACACTCATTCCCTTAGCAAGTTCTACCTGTGTTAAAGAAGAGAAATATGATAAGTATCAATGCTGGAACATTTTTACTGTGTCGTTAATGTTTTCAAATAGGTAGTTTTATTAGAATTAAATGTCAATAAATGGCATGTAGTTGTTATAATTTGTACACCTGATACTCTTATCAAAATATCTACTTGTAATATGTTGTGTATGTTTTGTATTTCATATACTGCTATAGAATTTTTAAAAGGGAAAGTATACCTTATAATAAGTAGACCAATGTATATTCTAGCTCAATAAAAACATTTATAAAGCATAATAGTTAAAAAAATGTAATACTTTTCTAATACAAGACGTATTTCTAATCAGGCAATGATCGAGAGTTCTTTCAAAAATAATATAATTAAGTTGTATGTAATTTACTTATTTATACCTTAATATTTTTATATATTTTACAATTACTTTTGACGACTGTAAACAACATATCGAAGGCAACAAGGCTAGACCTCGTAAGTCGCAAAATCAAAATTTTTCAAGAGATAAAAAAAAAAAGATTCACAAGTGCATAGAACAATCCATTTTACTCTATAATGGGACTAAAATTTAACCATATTTTGTTCAAAAATTTTAATACATACTTCATTTATACAGTAGATGGAGTGGAATCTTTTAAACGAGATTATCATAAAATATAATTTTCAGTGGCAATGTTAGTTACGAGGTCCTGCATTGTGGCTCTCGATATGTCCAAAATAAAGAAAAAAAGCCCAATTTAGATAATACAATAAATATTGTACAATTTTAAATAAAAAATCTAACCTTCTATTTTACAGTATCTATAAATTATAATAAAAAATATATATAGATCCTTAGCCAATCAGCCAGTTTTAAATTTAATACAATTCATACAAATAATTATATTTTTATATATTTTGTAATTCTATATTGTAATTGACACCCAGTTGGAAGAACACTTATATATATCTTTCAATATCTAATGATCGTATAATTTTATTAGACTGAACGTAATTTGATGTTCATATCATTAAGACAAATCACATTCTCAAACTCTGTCAAAGTTTGTCGTACCTATAAATTTTAATGAATATTGTTGCAATCGGTTGTTTGTATCTGGGTACAATATACATTTATATTAGTATGTACACATTTTTTTAAATATGTATATATTTGTTTTCTGTCTTTGTCAATACGATGTATTTTTCAACAATAAAACAATTTGAATTAGGAACCTGCGAATATCAGGCAGAGACTCCTGTCACTCGTAGCATCTAAATTTGTGTCGATGTATGTAGTGAAAAGAACATAAGTTGGACCCATATCGATGCTTTCTGACAGTGGTCTCTCTTTGTTACCTGCATGTTCCTATTAAACTTTGTTAAACTCATTGTAAGATATACCTTCTGTGTTAAAAAGTCCGTACCTGTCTAGTATCCTAAAGATATTTTAATAATAAGTAGTTTTCTTTGAATTAAATGTTATATATTCTTTGTATTTGTTAATGTCCTGAAGATTGTATTTGAACAAAATGTTATTCAATTCTTATAATTTGTACCCCTAATACTATTATTAAAATAACTGCTTGCAATATATGTTTTTTTTCAAGGATTTT